GTCAATCATATTAATTTTATTCCCATGATTTTTAGGTATTTTAAATTTTATACCTATTAAACCATTAATGGGCTCACCTGTAGCTATTGTTTCACAATTGCGTTTAATCTTCACTCCATTTTCGTCGAAAATTACCACCATTCCTTTGTTCTGGAGGCGCGTCACAGAAATCAAGTTGTAGGGCACTTCAGGTATAAATAATACATTTTCCAGAATCCCCCTGACTCCAAGATTTGTTATCACTTCCATCGATCCTGCTTTTGTGGCTACAACTGTTGTTTCATTTTTAGCTACTGCTATTTGAATTGGTCTTGGTAGTTCATATTTTGTTGAAAGGAATTTTTCTTGGTTGACAATATGATCTGTTGCCCCAGAGTCAAGCAGAAACAATGTGTCTTCAGTCTGCTTCAATGTTGTTGTTGCAAGATCATTTCTGAGCATAAAAGCAAAACCATTTCCTTCTGATTGCGTGCGTGAAACAGTTTGAATGTTGCGTTGTTTTTCCAGCATTTGTTTGTAGAAGTAGCAATCTTTTATTAAATGGTTTGTTCTACCACAATGATCGCATTTGATGTTTGACATTTTAGAGGCAATTTTTGAATCCTTTTTGAAATTACCTTTCTGTTTATTGTGAGGGAATTTCTTCTTTTTGTACTGTTTTTGATTCTGATGTACAGGGAAACTATGCTTGTTTAAGGTGCCTCTGAATGTGTTGAGAACTTTGAGACTTGTGGTGGTGTTGTCGTTTTTGAGTTTCACTTCGTGATCTAGTAATCGCGTTTTGACGAATGACAAATTCAAATTGTCCTCTCCTAAAGTCTCCAATGCAGTGATTACACCCTCGTAAGCAAACGGCATTGTTAGAAGAAGATGAGAAATTTTGTCCATCTCGTCTAATTTAGCTCCCGCTGCTAGTAATTCTGTGATAATGTCATCAAAAATTGTAAAGTGTTGTAGCAAATGCTGGTCTCCTTGGAACTTGAGGCTGAGAAGTTTTTTACGTAATGCCAATTGTGTGGCTAAACTTCTCCTTTCATAAATTGCATCCATGTCAGCAAATACATCCCGAGCAGTCGGTTTATCTTTGACGAAGTTCAAGAATGAGTCACTGAGGTATTCTGTGATTATGCCTTCCGCATACACATCGTGCCTTTTCCATCTATCATTGGGATCAGCAGGAGGCGTCTCATCAACTACATAAAGTACTTGTGCTTCCGCTAGTAGTAACCTTACACGAAATTTCCAAATACTGTATTTTTCCCCGTTAAACGGTTGAACATTCCTCGGTTTTGTTTTCTCCATAATAGAGATTTAGCGACACTTAGAGAAAACACACGTTCGTGGCACTAATGTGAGTGCCCACAGCACAGGATAAATAATTAACACAAAATTAAACGAACGTATTTAGTCCACTATTTGCTATTCGCGAATTCTGGGCCCATAACCTATTGAATATTATTATTTTTCCGTTAAGTGGTTTATGGGAAATAAAACGCTAGATTAATTTCAATATGTCTGTATTCGATACCAGTTTCTCTAAGACTAAATTTTCACATTATTTTTACAGGCAAAATTATACATTTCATAGGGTGACTCACCACTTCTCTTGTTTACAAAAACTCTTCCAGGTACCAGCCAGAAGTCATAAAAGCAGACCCTTTTTCTTTAAATAAGTTTCGACTGATAATACATTTTATTATGTAGATAATGGCATTTGCTTTTTCTCAGGCTTTTAAAACAAATTTAATATTGCCACATATTGCCTTTTGGAACCTGGTTGACTTGTTTTTGTATAATCATAATTCTAACATCACAAAGTGTAGTAAACTACTAGTTATGAGATAACTACTAGTTAAAGCGAAAACAGCGTTTCACAATTTACGGTTCAACGTGACACTTTTAGTTAACCAGTAGTTGAATTAACCCAAGGATGCGTATGAGTTAACTATGAGTTAGCTGAAATGCTTCGTTTTTTTAGGACAGTTCAACAGTGTCAAGTTTGAAAAGGTAAATTATTGAATGAAAACTTTTGCATTTCTTTTTCCGTTAGTGATACAATTGGAATTAAAATCTGCTCCCACCCTTCTCCAAGTATTTTCTTTTTTTTCCACGTTGATGCGCCGCTTTTTTTACATTCTATAATGAACTTATATTTCTGCAGGAGAGACACTAATAAATATTCTTCTTCCTTTGAAAAATTCACAGACCTTTTCTCACTTGACTCCATGTTTTAAATTTAAACAGGAAACACGACACAAAACCCAATATTGAATACTTAGGTATAAAAAAAAAATCTGTGAAATTTTACTGCCACTGACAAAAATTAATATCATTAATAATGACAAATCACAAAAAGTGACGTTATAGTGAAGTATAAACAGGTTTTTTTTAAAATTTTTCAAGGTGGTTCTAAAAATTTTGTCAAAAAATCAAGTACCAACCTTTGAGAAATAAAATTCAACCACTAGTCATTTAACCAACGATTGTTTGTTTAGTGTGAAACAGGTTAATGAGCGAAGTCCCAGTTAACCCCTGACCCCTAGTTGACTGACCAGCACTGGTTACCACCGATTGTGAAACTGGGCGTAAGAGGGGTAAACCACTTCCCAAAATACGTGTACACTCGGCCCGAGTTACCTCCGAAATACTTCGAAGTACCTAGAAATATTGTGAAGTACTTCGAAATACCGGGTACTCCCGTCGAAGTACGTGAAACCCCATGGAATTACTGTCGAAGTACTCGAAATACCCTCGAATTACTGCGCGAAGTCCCGGAATACTTCTAAAAAAATTCTCGTTTATAACGATTCTTCTTGTGGATGATGGACTTTTTTTTTTTTCATTCTATAATATTTCAATTTTGGGTGATAAGAATTAATTGTTGTCGGTACATAATAAAAAATACTAATAATTTTAAATAGCGCGAAATACCTCGGCTTACCGCGAAATACTTCGAATTACCCCAAAATACTTCCAATTACCTCAAAATACCTCGAATTACCTGCAAATATTTCGAAGTACTCGGCAATACCACAAAAAACTAGGTTCGAATTACCACCTCCGAAATACTTTGAATTTCTCGAAATACTTGCGAAATACCGACATCTTCGCAATACGTGTACACATTTTTAAAGAATGGTTGACCCCTGCCCCTCGGTTTACTACAAGTACATGTTTTTTATTATAAGAACCTACCTTCATACTTAATAGCCTATAGGTCTCTTTTTAACACATTGTTTCTTAAGACTGAAACAGATATAATTTTTTTTCTCGAAAGCTGTTAGAGATAAACCTATCGAACCTTATATCATTGAAATCGGTAAAAGCAGAGCTATCTAATGAGCTATTAATACATAGGGTGTCCTATTTGAAAAAATCCGACTTTGATCAATATCTCAAAATGGGAACGAAATAGAAAAACACTGAGTACGCCACTGGATTGTGCTCTAAAAAGTATCCCAAAGATGTTTTCACAGAAAAAAAAAAATGATAAACAAAAAACCAAGCAAAAAACTTATAGCTATTTTTCATAATAGGGAAAAATCGAAAATCGCCCTGTATTAATGATACCATTGAAGATATCGCGATACGGTTTTTGACAATCGACGTTTCTCGAAAATCAATCCCATGACATCTAAGTCAATTTTTCTCTATCTGGATCCTTATTCTTGAAACAGGGGAGCAACGTTCCCAGGAAATCTATTGACTAACTCAGAGTGTAACGCCCTGTACATATCTAAATATAAAAGAAAATAGGTATAATGGATTTAGACTTTTGGATTAGGTTTCAGATCTCTCTTGAAGCATATTTAATAGATTGTTAAGCTGAATTTTTAAGGTAATATTTGGTATTATTTTGAATTTTTTGGTATTTTGTGGTAATATTTGGTATTATTATGGTATTATTTGGTGGAATTTAGTATTTTCTGGTATTCTTGGTATTTTTTGGTATTTTTGGTATTTTACGTTGGTATTTTTGGTATTATTTGTCAAATATGGTATTTTAGTGTACAGCTTTTGGTCAGCGGTTTACCCCTCGAAGATAGCCTTATGATTTGGATTTTTAAAAACTTTGAATACCCATAGCTTTTTTGCTATAAGGTATAGGTACTTAGATAAAAAGCTAAAATTTTTAGCGATTCTTATCCCAGTGGAGGATTACAATCCCTGGAAATTTCAGCTCATTTGGACTTATGGTTCCAGAAATTAAATCGCAATATGGTATAAATTCACCAATTTTTCAATTTCCTAATGTCCTTTTTTCTTAGATATCAGCTTCAAATCACAGAATAATTTTATGGAGTTTGGGGGGTCCCAAATGATCATTTTGAACAAAAAATCGAGCAAAAAATCTCAACATAAAAAAATTGAAATTTCGTCAATTAGGTAACTAGGTACTACTAGGTACTAAGGTAGCTATAGTACTTTAATCTGGACTTTAGTATTCTGATGACTGATTGCTTCCTGTTCCTAGTGTATTTAGGTTAGGTTTGTGTACAAAATCGACAACACCGATTTTGATTGGAGGCAACAGTTGGCGACTAAATTCGTTCGTTTGTTTACAGCCAATCAGAAATGTTTTGACTGATTTAAATGTTCTTAATTCTTGTCAAATTTGACAACAGTAAGTCTACCTACTTTTTCCATTGTTTCCAGAACGAGCTAACTATAACAAATTGTTGTCGCACCTCAAATTAATAAATTTTAGCGCTTTTAAATCAAATTTCAAGCTAAAATATTTTCGTTTCCAATTAGAGGATAACAACTAACCACTTTTCACTTAAAACATCGCACGTATCCGTTCCATTTAAAATATTTACAAAGTCTCAAGTCAAATAGAAACCTCTTTAAGTGTTAATAAACGGCAGAAACAACGAAGGGCATATCAATTTACGGCTATTTACTAAGTGCTAATGAATCAGAGAAGATTCAAACATTGCAATGCGTATAGGTAGGTATTTTACCAATTAACAATAAATAAAATTAAAATTGATACTTACATTATTATTCGGAAATAATTTTAAAATCCATCTAGTTGGCAATAATGAAATGTTTCAAACAAAATCCCAAACATTTAAGAAAAAACCGGGCCGAAAACAATTCACACAAACCAATGATCCAAAGTCGCAAGGTTAATGTGCGATTTTGAAACAAAAACAACCACTTTGCGGGGTACCGCAACTCGCGAAAAACTATTTTTAAGTTATTTAAAAACCGGAAGAAAATAAATGGTCCCCAATTATTTACTAAAACATGTGACTTCCGTATTTTTTCCCCCCGAGATGATTTTTCTCTCGTGTTTACATGTCACCTCGACTGTAACAAATGACTTTCTGTCTAGACTACTAGACGTATGTCAATATTCGTCAAAATCAAAATGGCTACGCCTTTAATTTCCTATTCAAGACAAATTTCTATGCTTCATCTCTTTCTTAGCAACGTAACGGCGGATTGTCTCGCTCTAAAGGAGCGTCTGGGATTGAAAACGCTTAAACACGCCCAATATTTTAATAATACGATTGTATTTCAAACTTTAGCGGTTGAAATTCAGGTTTGATGTGATTTTTCTTGAGAAATTTCTCATTGATAATTCCTCGACACGAATTTCAAGACATCTTGGGCGATTTTTGAGCTTCTAAAATCAAAAATTAGAGAAAAAAACGAGCATGCGCTTTGTTTGATGACTTCTTTTTGTTCCAACCTTCTTTCCAGGGAATAAAATATTCATAATTTAATATAAGAAAATAATTTATTCTCATCACAGCTTCGTTTGTTCGTTGAATTAAAGCTTAGTCTTCAGTTTAATTATGACAAAAAAATTCATGGTTCCTGGGTTTTTTATTGGAAGAAACAGTTTTTTTATTTAATTAAATTCAAAAAGAATAGAATATTTAAGCTCCGCCCCTCCGATTTATACAATTTATACGCTGGCGCCATCTATCAGAAAATATATTCGTCAAGAAAACCGCAGATCTGCAAACGAAAATTCAATTGCCCCGACATCTATTGGTCTCATTTCTTAACTTTCCAAAACTCTGAAAAATGTAGATGTAGATGTGAAACAGACGTCGTAGCGCTAGTGGTCAAAAATTCGATTTCGATAGTTTTACGTCATCAGGACGATCTTATAGAAATTTGCATTATGTTTAATCGTCTGGATGACGTCATAAAAGTTATCAGGCAACCTAACTCTTTCAAACAACTTTGGTTCCACGTCCAACCGACATGAGAATCGTTCTAGAAAGGTAATTTCCAGTCGATCAATTCATTTGTCAATTAGAATAATTATGTTCAACTTATTAAAAAATAGGTGGGTATAGTCTGTCGATTTTAATCTGATACTCCAAAAGGAATCTGAACTGGGGGCTCACATTAGAACGCCAATGGTTACCTGACGTCACACCTGTTTTTGTCATATACCCCCTCGCTCCTCATACGGAAAGTGTCAGATTAAAAACGACGGACTTTAACTGAAAATTATACCGTCTAGAACGGTTCTTATGCGTGCGGTTGAGGCAGAGCCGTTGACGACAAATAAGCACATTGGGTGCCTCAACATAATGCAAATCTTCATAAAGACTAGTTCTCATGGAGCGGGATTTTTAAAATTTGTCCCGCAGTGGGGAAATGTTAACCTTTCTGCGATAAGGCAAAAAAGCTAAAGAATTTTTAACAGTTGCGCGAGTTTTTATTCGCTGTCACTTTTCTACTATCATCTTTGGTATGGTGACGATGTAACTATAAATCCTCTTCAAGAATCTCGCAGAAATTACTTCTTGGAAAGCAATATTCTGCACCCGCAACACGATTTTCCGCTCCATAAGAACGAGGCTTAAGGCACCCCAGATGCGTCATCAAGTTACCCATTACCAGACAACCTATCAACTTCAGGAACCTTGGGTCCCTCCCAAGAATCGTTAACTTTACACTCTACAAGATTGCTCAATCCCATAAGACAAATGTTCACAAAAATATCGAACATGGAGGAATGCGAGTGACGTCACATGCTATCATCGCAGTCCTTGATCGGATTGTTTTTTTATTATGAATGCATTTTCAAAGGGGATTCTTTTTGTTGCACCACGCATCTGTTCCCTGCAAATCGGGGGCGACTGAGCACCGGAGCGAGTAGCTCGAGTGTTTCAAACTCTTGAAAGGAATACAACTATTGAGTTTAGAATGGACACTTACTAAATTTGACAAGTTATTTATGTCAATTCTAAACGTTCAGAGAGGTTCAATGCTTCCTTCGGTCTGCGGAAACCTCAAGGAAGGAGCGACTATAAATTCGACCCTAAAGGTTTGTGTGCTTGAGTGGCTGCTTGCTGCTTATCAGCACGGTTATTTCAAAATACCCACATACATAAATATTATGTTAAAATGTGCATAAGGTTCGTTTCACCAGGGTTCATACTTGACCTTGAAACTTGAAAAAAAAAGGGTTGTCGTAGATTAATCATATGACACATTCAATTTTTTTGACAAATTAAAATGAATGACTTCTGGTTTAAGAACCGACGAACGTTTTTGACGTCATTGATTTGTTTCAGTCAATTTTTATTTGTTAAACAAGAAAGGCAAATGCTGGTGGCAAGTACAAACCCTGGCGAAACAAACTTTACATGCATTTCTTTTACCTTTTTTTAGGGAGGGTATTATAAAACTGCTTTGACAGTTAACTTGAAGTTAACTTTTTGAATAACATGTAATTCCACTCTCAAAGTAGTTTTATAATACCCGCCCTTAGTGCTAATACTTCATAAATTAATATGTTCCTCTGTTTATCAAAAAACACAAGGTTGCAACATATTTTATTGTGTAATAATGATTTAATTTTTGCATTTCTGAATATCAAAATATAAGGGGACAAGGGGAAACGTGGTTGCAATAGTGTGTTTTATTTTTCACTGTCTCTATACCTACCTATACTTCCCAATTATTATTCAATAGTTTAATATGTACTAAAACGATTTAATATGGACATTCGAAGTAAGTGCTTATCTAACGAAGGCGAATTGATATTACTTAGATTTTCATAATCATAGTCCAGAAAAACAGTAAAAACACTGCAAGTTTCCTATCTTTTCTATGCGTTTACATATAGTAACGTGCCAATAAAGGAATGCAGGTGACGTCACAGCACTGTTGGAGAGATTTAGCCGATTGAGCATTCTTGGGTCCCCCCCATTGAGGTAGGTTTCCCCCAAGGTTGTCGAGAGAAGTAGGTTGTCTGATAACTTTATGACGTCATCTGGAGTGCCTCAACATAATGCAAATCTTTACAAGGCACCCAAGATTAGGGTGACCATACGTACAGCATTTCGCTGTATTGTACAGCATTTTCAAACTCTGTCCAGCATTTAATTTTGTACAGCAAACGTACAGCGATTCGGATCCGATCATAATTAAAGTTTTTCTTAAAAAAAAATCACGAAAAATTGTCCGTCAATAACTAACGATATTTCTACATTTGCGATTTACGTGATTTACGCCATCATCTCCCAGAGTATTCTTTTTAATGCTAACTACTTTTTCTATCTCTCTCTATTCCACGCTGCTAAGAAGAAGACACAGCATAATAGATCTGTTTCTGCAGCAATCACAAACCAGTCAGCGCGAATTTCATTGGTTGAAAATAGTCAGAAAGTCAGAAAGCTAGTTTCAACTCAAGGTTCCTAAAGTTAATAGGTCGTCTGGTAATGGTAAACAGATGACGTCATCAAGAAGATCTAATGGAGATTTGCATTATGTTTAGGCATCTAGATGACGTCATAAAAGTTATCAGCCAACCTACCTCTTTCAAACAACCTTGGTTTCAACCGTTAAAGTTTTCAACCAATGGGCTGCGTTCAGATTGAACGTCGGTTGTCGCCCGAGCGCGCTCTGACCGTTCAGATTGCTTTGGGTAAAATTTACCCAGCCGTTCAGATTGTCAGTAGATTTTTATCTGACGACACCCCGACGCACACTTTTGCATCCCATAAAATAGTAAGATAAAATTTGCCCCGCATGCGCGTTTGTGTTATGTTTATGTTCTAACCAATAATAAAGGCAAATATTGTAAATATTATTGTTATGAGTTATGGCGAGTTTATCCAATAAATAAAATAAAATAGGAAATAAATTAAAATAAGAAATAAGGGTAAAGAGGTATTATTTTATATGTGATAGTTCTACCAAAAAAATCAAAATAAAATAAAATAAGAGTTGATTATCTTTGAACTTTCTTTTTTCTTATTTTACAAAAATGTGAGAATCACACGAACACAGTGAATTTTGAAAAGGCAACAAAATCAAAATCAAAGCATCCCATAAATAGTGATGTTATGAGGAGAGAATGCGTCTTGGCCGTTCAGATTGGGCGAATCGCCAGGCACACTCGGAGTGCACTCTCTATCGGGTACGCTCTGCACTGGACGTCGCCCAGACTCTCCAATCTGAACGCGCCCTAATTCATTCTGACTCTTTTGTGATGTCTGTGTGAACAGACCTTATATGCTATGTCTTTCATTATTTTTTTTTCTGTTAGGTGGTACTAAAACCAGCTATAAAGTCAACAAAATTTCATTTAGTGCTTTCTCCACTCCACTCACCTGTCCCAAAATTTTAGATGCGTACAGCATTCATACAAAAAAAATATGGTCACACTACCCAAGATGCATCATCTTGCATTACCAGAGGCAACCAATTAACTTTAGGAACCTTGGGTCTGCCCCATCCCAAAGAGTGCATTCGAAATCAGTCTGGGCGTCACACCGAGTGCACACCAGCCGTTTGAAAATGAATTGACCTTTTGTTTCGACGCCATATTGCGGTGCGCGAACATAGTTGTTGCCAAAAAAAATTTTAAATGTAATTTATTCACTAACTTTGGATTTTAAAGTTGACAGAACGCTAGTAATTTTTTTTCTACTGTTGGCAACTATGTTCGCGCACCGCAATATGGCGTTCAAACACCGTAAAATTTACTCTTGACCACGTGACCAATCGACTTTCACCCTTGGGTTGAATTTAACCCTTTAACCGAACACACTCAAGGTTTAGGTCTTGTTTGGGTTATGTGGTAATGGGTAACTTGATGACGCATCTGGGGTGTCTTATGGAGAATTGCATTATGTTGAGGCACCTCAGATGACGTCATAAAGTCAACCTACCTCTCTCAAACAGCCTTGCCTCCAAGGTTCCTGGGACAAAAATAATTCATAATAATCTCCTGGACTATTTCTACTATCATTCATTTTATTCATTGTTTGACAAATATTTAACACTAAAAGTCATATAATAGTACAAGAGCTAATATGTTGCTGTTCCAGTTACTTTTGGTGGTGTTCCTTATATGGGTGTTCCATCATAATTTTTATTTGGCTATGATATCGATCAATCAAGGATATGCACACTCTGAGGAGTGCTTATCGGCCTTGTTTTTGGTAATCACGATCATATGGTGTAGCACCATTGCCGACGTCATTAACTAAGGCGTCAGTTATCTGCGCCAGCGGTCCTGATTTAGTATTTAGATTTATGATATAATATTATTTACACTTACAAAACACTCCGCTGTGCGTCGTGTTTTGTATTATGTCGCGCGTGCTTTGAAGGCCCTCTTATACCCTTACATATCAAAAATATACTATTTGAAGCGAAATATTAGGCCGTTTACCTAAAAATTATTTAAGTCAATCAAAGGTTATATTGGCCGAGTTCGTTTTTGGTCCTCTTTTCCGTCGATTTGCTTTGAAATTTTGACAGGCACGTGATTTATAAACTGAAACTGTCTTATCCAGTCCTGTGCCTGTCAAAATTTCGGACAAAATCGACGAAAAAGATGACAAAAACGAACTCAGCCATTGACAAATGAATAATGCATTTAACGTCATTTATTACCGATTGGTTGACAAATGTTTGCTTCATTGGTTATCTGTCAACTATGACTGACCGGTTAATCGCCTTTAATCGATGTTAATGTTGATTATCAATAGGCACAGAAAAAGATGCAGACGAGATCTAAAAAAAGGATTGTTTTAGAATGGTAATTATGCACTGTGAGTGACGTGAGAAACGACACGATGTCTACGTCGTCATTGGTACTTTGGCGTGGTGGGGGGAATCAGTTGTTTGGTAATGGGTAATTTTATGACGTCATTATGGAGATTTGCATTATGTTGAGGCACCCCATATGACGTCATAAATGCTACTTAAATCCTTTTTTTTATCCTGGGAATCGGTCACACAATGAAAACACTAGTTTGTAATTTGTTACGTTTCGGTTTAATTAACCATCATCAGACAAAAAAAAATTCTAAAAAAGATTAAAAAATATTTTTACATAAAATTTTTTGATTTTGGAAAATTCTACATTATAAAAATAAAAAACAATATATCCATAGGTACAATACAAACTAATTAGGTGTCACATTTAAAGAGAAGACAGATTAACATTATTTCTATATTTATCTAGTATGTGGAAGAGAGTTAGGAGTAACACGAGAGAAGGATGAAAAGTATATATATATATATATATATATATTTTTTCAATAATTATATAAGCTTACTATAATTTAATTTTTTCTGAAAATAGTGAAGGTTTAGGAAAAAAATCAGAATAAAATAGTGATGGAATTCTTACCAGCTTTGTATAAGCGTAGTCTACCAATTGTGTATTCAAGTATTATTGTAATTAGATCATCAAACTAAGGGCGGGTATTATAAAACTGCTTTAACAGTTAACTTGCAGTTAACTTCTTGAATTACATGTAATTCAAAAAGTTAACCTTAAGTTAACTGTCAGAGCAGTTTTATAATACCCACCCTAAGTTGTTCATGTCATAAATGCTATCAGGCAACCTCTCTCAAACTTTGGGCGGGAGTGTTTAGATTTGATCTACACAGGCCTTATGAGGCTAGGCTATCCTATATGGTGTGTAATATCCTTGGTTTAACAGTTTAATCGGGCTGTTCGGTATTTTGCTCAATGAGCAGAGCCGTAATCACGTGACCAGCGAGCGAACAGAGCAGTTGAACGCTGTATCCGAGTGCAGCAAGAAAAGCTGTATCCGAGTGAAGCAAGAAAAGCAGTACAAATGAACTATCTCTTGGCTTTTTCAACAGTTTTTGGATTCGATCACAGTATTTCATTTGGAAACTGGAGCTAGACTTCTTGCTCCGAGTACACTCAGTTCCGCCCTTGTTCGTGTGGAGGACATTCAGCATCGATACAATTCAGGAATTTCTTATTTAAGACATATTTGCGTATCCGTTATATCTTTTATTTTTTTTCATAAGCTGGGTTCGGCTATTCAGCGCGGAGTTGGAGTGGAGTGAACAGTGCTAATGGAGTCACCCCTAATACGGTAAAAAGCAATACCCGAACCTTAACCCGAACGGCTGGAGTGCGAATGGAGTCACTCGGAGTGCACGGAGTGAGCAAGCCGAACCCACCTATATAAACCACTCCGTATCGCTCCTAAAGCGGACGCCATTTTTTCCTTTATTTTCGCTATTATATCGATCAATCAAGGATGTCCTGGAGTGCGTTCAAAGACGGCAATGCTAATGCCAAAACCTACTTTTCCCCTTCTACCGGTAATGCCAAATCTGGTGTGAATTTGCTGGAACGCCAAATACCGTTTCTCAATTAGGCAATCCAAACCACGTGACATTCAAGATGGCGTGACGTGGCGTCCACAAAGACACAAAAAAATATCTAGTTTCTGCCCAACTCAATAGTTTATGTACCTACAAATATTTTATTGAATAATCAAAATCAAAGCTGCAAACAAGCAAAATAATTGAAATATGCATGCAAACCCATATTCAAAACTAACTTGCTGGCCGCTACGCCATATTGAATTTGGTCTCATCCAATCAAAATTCGTATAACCATTTCTAGACTCAGTCAAAAGCACCTCCAAAAGTTACTTTACCTCGGCCGATTCTGAACGTGTAAAGCCAACCGTTTTTGGCACGCTGGAGCCGAACTTGAACGCAATATGCCAATTTTGGCTTGGCTTTAGCCGTTTTTGAACGCAGCCCTGATGAACGCGACCTATTTTTGTACTCGCTCGAATTTGACAATCGACAATTGACACTATTGAAAGTTGTAGTAGTGACAGTAGTGTGGTCAGGTGGTGTTTTGTGTTTTCTTTCTTGTAAAATATAAATATATTATTTATTAATTTATTTACCATCGATAAATAATTATTATTATGGAGGCCGTCCTGGCAGTCGAAAAAGATGTAGATAAAGTACTATCCAAGTTCACTGGAATAAACGATCACAGCCGTAGGGTGCTAACCGATTTAATAGACCAAATGAATAACCTGAAAGAGGAACTAGAAAATGGTAAGATTTCTTTGTCTCCTTAGATGCGTTTTTGTAACAATGTGGAGACCAAAATGCCTTATTACGTATCGTTTTTACATTTTTTGAATACCAATTTAGCTGGAGAAGTGCTCCAGAATTTCCAGGCAGCTGATTTTCTTTTAATGTACCTATGAATCCAGAGATCTGGACAGCAGGTTTATATGCATTAGATAAGGAAAGTTTCTGAAAGAACATTTTTCTATGGGAATTACTCCGAGTAAAACTATTGTTGTAAACCCTGCAGTTCTATTGACCTACACCAAATTATCTGTATATTTTCTTTGTAGCTCCAGAAGAACATCAGTTAACAAACATTCAACAAGATCTCTTTAAAACCTCAATGACAAAAATCAAAGACACGGTATCAAGATTAGCAGTAGAACATAGAGACTTACACAGCTCGGTTTCTAAAGTGGGCAAATCCATAGACAGAAATTTCACACAAGATTTTGCTGCTTGTAGTCGCGAGAATGCTTTTAGCACTACTGAGAAAATGGATACTATAAACAAAGTCATTTGTAAACATTATTATAGGTAAATAGTTGTTTTCCTTAGCACTGGAAAATACTTATTATTTCTAATTCAAAGGCAAGGCATGCATGATGTAGCTGATTCCTTAGTAGGCGAATCTGGTGTATCAGTGGAAGGCTACGAAAAAGAACCATTCACAGAACTCCACCATATTAGTGATAGTTTGAAAAATAAAGATTTTGAACCACTACTGGCATGGGCTACTGCTCACCATGAGGCATTGGACGCACAAAATTCCTCATTGGAATTTATGATTCATAGACTGAAATACATCGAACTGCTCAAATTGGGAGTTGCTTTTCAATCTGAAGCTATAGGATATGCTAGGACACATTTTAGGAATTTTGTGCATAAGCATGAAAAAGGTGAGGATTTTACTTTTTGCTATTTTTTTTTTCTTATTTAAAAGTTTTGCAGAGATCCAAACATTAATGGGAATGCTTCTTTTCATTCCGAAAGGCATTGATTGTTCACCTTACAGGACCCACTGCGTTCCAGATAGTGAAATGTGGCTCGAAATTTATGAAATGTTTATAAGGGATGCTTGTCAAATGTTAGGGGTTTGTGAACACAGCCCCTTATTCACTTGTATCAATGCTGGCTGTCAAGCTATACCAGCTTTGCTTAATATTAAACAAGTTATGATGCAGAGACAAGTTAGTCAGATATGGAAAGGAACTGAAGAGCTACCTGTAATGATTGATTGTTTTTTTTTTAACATTGAAATCTTATACTTTATTATTTTTTAGATTGAAATTGATTTGGGGCCAGATAATAGATATCATTCAATGTTTGCTTGTCCAATATTAAGACAACAATCTACTAAAAATAATCCTCCAATGAGACTGATGTGTGGTCATGTTATATCAAGGGATGCCCTACAAAAATTGTGCAGCGGCAATAAGTAAGTAGTTAGATGTTCTTTCCTAATGGTTGCAGTTATGAAATTTATGTAATAACCTACATGCATTTCTAGACTTAAAAAGTTCATTTGAAAGAGTCAATAGAGAAAAATTATTAATTTCCCATTATCAATATGGGACAAGACGAGGGGTATGGGTGGTCCAAACTAGACACTTTCTTATGGAAACTTTTAATAGGAACCAATATTTCTGAACGAAATAGAAAAAAATTAATCCTCTACTCCGAGGCCTAAATTTCATGAAATCTTGATTTGCGCAAACTGCATTTTGATATCTTCAATCATTTGGCTGCTGGAAAAAAAAAGGAAGACTTGGTATACCAAACGATTATGTACCTATCTCTGGGAAAAAATTGCATTCTGTTCATTACATAAGACTCTGTGAACAACTCTGTGAACAACCAAGATTCCACTCAATACCTACTTTTACAAGTATCGCAAAATTTACCCAAATAGGATTCGCTAAGGACATGTATTACATTCTACTACTGTTATACATTCCTGTAAACGGCCTATAATCCTTTAAAACTCATTTTCCAAGAAGTCAATAGTCAATAAATTCTGCTCCAGTCCTCATAAGCTCTTCTTGAATAACAGTTTTTTTCAATTTTTTTGGTTTTTGGAGGTTGAATAGTTAAAAGCATTAATTTTCAGTCTTCAGAGTTTTAAGAGGCTGAAATCATCCAAAACTGTCCTTTTTCAAAGTCTTTGTCCTTGAAAGCTATAAATTCCTATGAAATTCTTTCATGACCCTGGACATTTCAGATTTGTTCGTATCTTCTCTGGATTAAAAAATGCCCCCGCAAAATTCCAATGAGTAACGGGTCACGAATTGCACCCACTCAAATTATAGGGTACGGTTCACTGACGACTGAACGAACAGAAAACTGCGATTTCGACGGTTGTCACATCACAAGTTCCTGCAGAATTTAGCTTCACAAGGAATTTTCTCGGAGACTATTTTGAATATAGGGCTGCGGTTTTTACGAGAGATCCTAGATTTTTTTTCTTGATTTAAGTAGCTAAAATCGTTTTCTAGGGTCACACCCACTTTAAGCCTTGCAAGTTAGTGGGCGCGGGAAGTTCACTGATGGCGGCTACTCTTGCCAAGAATAAGGATATCGTCCAGGTATGCAAAGCAGAAAGAATCTAATTCTGGTCCGATTATCTGAACCATTAGCCTCTGGAAGGTGGCAGGAGCGGAGTGTAGTCCGAATGGCATTAAAGGAAATTGATAAAGACCTATTTACGGTACGGTGAAAGCGGTTATCAGTTTGCTACTTTTAGCAAAAGGTATTTGCCAGTACCCTAATTTCGATCTCGATGTCAGCGGCATAATTAATTGGAAAATAAAAGCTTCGGAAATCCCGCAGGAACTCGTCCTAGGAATTCCAGTGTGCTCGATTATTTCGGTACAATAGGGATGCATCACCCTGTAAAATTTCAGGCATGTGCGGTAATAAACGGTCTATTGAAAACCCTTGAGAGGCACACATTTCCTGGGGGTATTAGTCGGTATCAGCGGGTTAAGTGGTCGAAAAGCTTAACCCTGCCATGGTGGTCGGTGCTGGCGACGCTTCTCCCTGGCGATAAAAGCTAAAAGGTGACTAGTTGCTTTCTCAAAACGTCCACGGTACTCTAAGTGTCCAGTCTAAACTTATTTAGCCAATAACCAGCTTGTCCTTCTTTAATAGGTACACCCAACTTACACGGCCGTCGTTGGGATCATACCAAACGGGGTAAGTTGCGATGGGTACATTAACAGGCGGGTTTACCGGACTTGTAGTTACAGTGGGTGACGGCAGTTGTATTTGGGGTACTGGTAACCGGTGGATTTCATTGCTGCCGGTGCCTCTTGGCTTGGTAAATTTGCCTTAACGGTTTCCTAACAGTAGTGAAAAACAAGCAAGAAGCTTAAGCGGCCACGACCTTCAACGGTTAGTTAGCTGCAGGTTTGCTAGCAGGCTTATGGTTCCACTACACTTGGCGGAGCAATTAGAAGTGGAGTACGCGGACTTAAGAGTCGGTGGTCGGAGTGTTCTAGGCGGTGGTACGGATAGGAGTCGGAGTGTTTTTAGGCAGCTGTCGAATGATCTGGAGTCTTTCAGAGGGATTAGATAGAGACTAGAATCGTTTGAAGTGTTCCGGACCACGTTCGGATTAAGACTTTCACTAGTTTTATATTCTTTTGCGATAGTGGGCAGGCGCTTACCAACCAAATGTTGTTGGGGTTCTAATTAAAGGACAGCTAGTGTGCACACTCTTACTCTCATGAGCTACCATCCAAACAATATGGTAAATCTGCAGAAATTTTACGAAATCTGGCAACCGGTAGATGATACAAATTTTCTAGTTGCAGAATTGGAATTGGCAGCCGCGAATTACTGAGAAAAATGGTGCAACTCGGTTTTCACATTTGCGCATGCGCAAAACGGTTTGGGCGGAAAAGGGGTCCGGTATGAAATTTTATCGCTTTTTGTTTGTCGGAGTGGTAATGCGTGAAAGCAGCAACGGAAAAGTCGGTTTCTGGCAAACTACGTCAATGGACAAAATTTTGAGATGAAAAATGAAATCAGCAATCTCGTTTTAGTCGGGAATGAGCAGTAGCTCAAATTTTTCATTTGCGCATGCGCTTACCAATACTTCCCAAGAATATATAGCTTCGGTCCAATGCGGTACGAAATATAACAGGAACTCTCTTCCACAGACGGACGGCATTGGTTAAGACCACGGGGCGAATGACAAGACGACATACACAGAACAGTCCAAACAGAGGTCCATTTTGTGGCGATCGGTAGCCTGGAAGTCACAATAAATCGGTACGGTTATTCCAATGGTCGACAAAAGAAAATGGCCTCCCGGTGAAACGGGGACGGATGATGACGTAAAATCCTTGGTCACATGCTGACGTCATGCGCAAAACGGTCTCTGCTCGGGCGTCAAATTTTTAATTATCCAAATATGATAGCGCGATTTCGGTTTTTCTTGCACTGGTCTTGGTGTTACTGATTTTGGGTTACTTATCCGTCGGTTAACTCGGGCGCCACCGTCAGTATTAAAGTGGTCGAAGGCCTACTAACTTATTTCAGGTAGCATACCAGTGGAGACGGAAAACCAATGTTCACTGCGCAGCCAATCAGAAATAAAACAAACATTCCGGGAAAATAACAGATACTTTATTCTGGATCAAGCGTTGAACAAGAAAATAAATACCCTATTAGAATATAATACATGACCACCTGAGAGGGGAGGTGAACGAAGTATTGGTGTGTGTTTTGCGCGAGAGAGAGAGATTTACGGAACGGAAATACGGTAAATCTGCATCCAGAATTCTAGAGCAGTTTGTTTTTTTTTTCTAAGATAATTCCCCAAGTCAAAAATTTAGTAACTATGTTGGCAACACAAACCTTTTCTACATGAAAAATTTGAAAGCATCGACAATTTTACATTGTATTGCTAACATAATCTCATTTTGACTTTTATCTTTACAAAAAAAACAGTCTTTAGACGCAGAGAAGGATCGGAAATATCGAGACAAGCACAAGCAACGTCCCCGTAACAAAACCCAGACTGGACGTGACTTGGGCACGTCAGCACAATGTGAAAAAAGGTGCTTCACGCACGTATTGCATACAAAATTTTTTCTACTACCAATTAAATATGTGTAAAAAAATAGATTTAGACAAATACTTCACGCACTAGTGCGTGAAGTATGTTCACTTTACGCACTAGTGCGTGAAGCAATTTACCAGAAAAATACTAAATTGACAGTTTCGACATCTGTCATTGACATTACTTTACGCACTAGTGTGTGTGAAGTGAAATTTTACGTCTTCTGAATAGTGTGTAAAGTGAGTACTTTACGCACGGTAGTAGAAAAATATTTTTTAGTGTTCATTCAAAATTCATTTTTGATCTAAGTTTTAATTATTATTATTCTATGATTATTATCGGCTCTCAAGAGCGGGTAAAAGCTCAAAATTTAATAATTACTGGCTCTTGATTTATTTGAAATGTGAGTGTTTCAAATCTTACTTTTGATCCAAATTTTGATTATTATTAGCTCTTGAGACTTTGGATGGTTTTTCTAGAGACCCCCAAGAGCCAGTAATGGTTCAAAATTTGATTATATTTGTAGATTTGCTTCTTTGTCAGCAGCTTTTTGATTTTGATATGATATAACTTTGTTTTTTTTTTTTACTTCCAGGCTGAAATGTCCATATTGTCCATTGGAACAATCACCGCAAGAGGCTCGGCAAATATATTTTTAAAAATGATGTAAATAAAATGGGAGTTATTATTGGCAATAATTTCTCTTTTCTAAGTTTTCTTGTTTAGGTATTTATATAATAGCTTAAGTATAAGGTAATATATTTTCATTTCTGATTTGTTGACTGGCCAAATTGCTAGATGTTCAAGAATTGATTACATATTGTTTTTTTTTTAAATATATAGATTATGATAAAATAATCATTTCTCCGTTATTCTTTTTATAATTTTATTAGAATTTGCACCTCTCCCTACCAGACTTATATTTTTCGTTTGTCGATTATAATTTTAATTATTTACTGAATCAACTTTTTTTTATGACGTTTGCACTGTCAGTTCCTAAATATATTTGTGCCAAGGATCTTGGAAGGCATAGATATTCAAATTTTATTTTATTTGCCAAAAAAAAAACAATAATCAGTTGCTATGATCAATTACCTATAGCAACTATAATCCAATTCTATCTCATGGGTCGAAGATTTTCCTTCCATACTAAGCAATTCTCCACATTTTATGAAGCCAACAGCATCGCAGGGTAAGAATTTTACTACTAGCCAAAACCAAGTTGCTGCTAAGGATGAAGACAAGCCTCATGAAGCTTGGATGCTAAATAAGATAAATTAAATTTTTCCAGCAAATATGGAGAGTTATCGCTTGGAAACTAAAGATACCAAGTATCATAAATGTGATCTAGAGTTAGAAGCCTTTGATATTGTCTCAAAATTTGTCGAGGGTGGCCCTTTTGTCTTGCTGAGGCGAAAATTAAAAAGGTAAGGCAAACAACAAGTCCTTTTATTACCTTTATAATTTTATATTTTCTATTCAGATACACAATGATAAGCGATAAACATCCCCAGACCACAGCTTATGCTCCATCTATAAACCGAATCAGGCAAGAAGAAAAATCGCACCTAATATTGCACTATTACATGATTCATCCACTAAGCATGTTGAGTCTGCATTTTGAGTTGCTCGTTTCGTTCATGTTTTTATGTCACTATATGATTGCCCCATTGATATTCACCGCTGCCACGGCGAGGATCAAGACGGGTTTGATGATACCTATCAATAGTAAGAATCTGAAAATAATTTCTGTTATAAAACAGAGCCTTTTGGGTTATCTATTTATATTTTTGAGAATTAAGATTCGCTATCGGTTCCTCGAACGTTTGTTTTATTCTTGTGAAAATTTTGAGATTGAGAACTGACGAAATTTTTATTGCAGCTCAAGTCATAGAGAAAACTGTGCAATTTCTAGTGAAATAGGGGGTAGTAGAAAAGTTGCCATTTAATTAAAGAATTTTTATTATTTTTTTTAAATTGTTAATTGTTAGAAAATTGAGCCGTACTATTGAGCTCTTTAGGTCAACTTCTTTCACTAAAGACTAAAGACGGGTCAATTTTTTTATGCTTTTCTTTTCATTGTATTATAACAACTTTTGTTTCAGTACTGTACCTACTAATAATTGTGTACAATTTTATGACTGGTTACTATAACAGAAGCCAAAACAGCATATCTATGGAATGGAGCGTAGTTGCGAAACATTACATAACTACGTATTTTTTTATTGACCTTTTATCGTTCCCGATGGATGTAATAAGATGGGCAGGAGTTTTAATTGACGATGTCGTGATGAATATGTATATTGCACCATTACTTATTATTTTACGTTATGGCAGGTGAGTAGGCATGATTTTTTTTTGTGGTTGAAACAATCAAAAGTATATTAATAATACTGTTTCTAATTTAGGTTGGCGTTATTGTTTATTATAAACAATTGCTAGTGTAGAGTGGCAGTTGTCATTATTAGTTGTCAAGTAATTTTGAATTTTTATTCACACACATTCTTCCTCCTTTCTATTTTGTCCAGTTTATACCTTTTATTATTATATTTCTTTTCACTATCTGAGTATACAAGTTTATTACTACCGCATGCTTCCCCCAGAGGTTATGGGCCCAGCAAGTGTTAAATTGTGGTAGTAATCCGAAGTTTAAGGAGTACCTGAGGGAGTACCATAGTGAAAAGTGAAAAAATGGATGCCACAGTAGCAGTCACCAAGCTTAACAATTCCAATTGGAATGTTTGGCGGTTCCATGTGAAAGTGGTGTTAATGGCAAAAGGTCTGTACGATATTACTTGCAAAAATGAAGCGATGCCAGAGGAAGATGTCGACAAAATTGCTAAATGGAAAGTCTGCCCGTGCTCAGGAAGCCCTTGTAATTAGAATGGAGGATACAATTATTTCCCATGTGATGCAATGTACAGGGTGTCCGAATTTGGATGGTTTTAATAGAAAACGTCAATTTCTGAGCGAGATACAAAAAAATAAACCCCCCTCTCCGAGGATCAAATTTCTTGAAATTTTGATTGGTGCAAACCGCATTTTGATATCTTCAACCGTTTAGCCGCTAGAGGGCGATTCTTGATTTTGAGCAATACTGTGAAATCTTCATAACTTTTTTGTTTATGAAAATAACTGATTTCTGTAAAAACTTCCTAGAAGCACTTTTTCAAGCAGAATTCAGTGACGTTTTCAGTTTTTTTCTATTCGGCCTCGATTTCAAGATATTGACCAAAATACGATTTTTTTCAATGGGATACCCTATATATTAATAGTTCATTAGAAAGCTCTGCTTTTGCTGACTTCAATGATACAAATTTCGATAGGTTTATCTCTAACAGTTTTCGAGAAACAAAATATTTCGGCTTTTGTCATAAGAAACAATGGGGTAGTATACTATGTATAAAAATCAGTGAAAAAACTGCTCGACATTATTCTATAGGCTAAATGGTGATGGTATAGTGAGATACTAAATTATTTTCCAGCATAGTGTCTATAGAATTAGTCAGAGAAAAACAAACTGTAATTTGAATTTAGCGCCACAGCGGCGACCAATAGTATTCATGCCGCTGACCATCTGGCAACGCTGCTCAACATGACAGCTGACTTCAACAGTTCAACGACGTGTGGTGTCGTATGAATCGTGTGATATGTGACATTGTCATAGACTTGTTTACGTTCTTTGATGTAGTAAATTTGATGTTTCGTTCTTGACGATCAATGTCAATGCAAATTGTGCGTTCTCAAAACCGTGATGTGTTGCCAGATTGGAAAAGCTAACTACGTCACGAACTTTCATTTTCACGTAGGGGCGGGGCTAAGGGGAAATTTTAAAAATAAATTTCCAGGCTATTGCGGTTTTTACAAAGCAACTGATTACACTAAATAGTACGATACGGCGAGTATATCACTAGGTAGTAGTTAAAAATCACTTGTATACTTCCCCATTAGGCAATTTAATCCATCTGTCAAAAAGGAAAATTCAATATGGCGTGGCGGCCAAGCAAGCTTGTTTTGAATATGTTTTTATGTGTATTTTGAATTATTTTGCTTAGAGTTTTGCTTGTTACTTTGATTTTGATTATTTAATACGATATTTGTTGACTAGGTACCTAAATTATTAAATCCGGCAGAAACTAGATATTTTTTTTGTGTTTTTTGGCCTATGTGTGGCCGCCACGCCATCTTGAGTGTCACGTGGTTTGAATTGCCTAATGAGTTAGAAAGAGACCTTTCTCAGTTTCCTTACAGATATAAAGTCCTTTTCTTACACATTGCTTCTTATGACAAAAACCGAAATAATTTTTTTTCTCGAAAACTATTACAGATAAAACTATCGAACTTTTATCATTGAAATCAGAAAAAGCCGAGCTTTCTAATGAGCTATTAATATATAGAGTGTCCTATTGAAAAAAACCAGACTTTGGTCAATATCTCGGAGTTAGGACCAACTAGAAAAAAACTGAGAACGTCACTGAATTCTGCTTGAAAAAGTGCTTCTAGAAAGTTTTTACGGAAATCAATAATTTTCATAAACAAAAAAGTTATGATGGCTTCACATTATTGCTCAAAATCGAGAATCGCCCTCTAGCGGCTAAACGGTTGAAGATATCAAAATGCGGTTTGCACCAATCAAAATTTCAAGAAATTTGAGCCTCGGAGTGGGGGGTTCATTTTTTTGTATCTTGCTCAGAAATTGATGTTTCCTATTAAAACCATCCAAATTCGGAAACCCTGTACAGGGTGGGCATTTTATTAGGGGCCTATGTCTTTTCTCAGAAACTACAGGGTGTACAAAAAAAATATAAATACAAAAGTTTCTTGGTTTTAAGCAATGTTGTCAATTATTTGAGTTTTATTTATACAGGGTGTCCCAAAAGTGCTGCACCGACTTCAAAACCAGAATTTTAAATGGAATACCCTGTATGTTATTGCATATTTGGATTCTACGTAAAATTCTGAGCAGAATTCATGTAATATACCCAATACCTAAGTTTAACTGTTTTGGAAATATTGACAGTTGAAAATTGACTTTTTGCAACTTTGACAGGCTGTAAAACCTAAACGGTTAATTTTAGACGAAAACCGATTTTACATTCCTATCTTAGATTTTTATGACACCAACTTTGAATTTAACCGGAGATTAAATTTAACTGGAATTTTTAATCATGGATTAAATTCAAAGTTGGTGTCAAATGATAGTTTATAAAAATCTAAGATAGGAATGTATAGGGTATATTACATGAAATCTGCTCAGAAGTATATTACATGAAATCTGCTCAGAATTTTACATAGAATCCAAATATGCAATAACATACAGGGTGTTCCATTTAAAATTTTGGTTTTGAAGTAGGTGCAGCACTTTTGGGACACCCTGTATAAATAAAACTCAAATAATTGACAACATTGCTTAAAACCAAGAAACTTTTGTATTTATATTTTTTTTGTACACCCTGTAGTTTCTGAGAAAAGACATAGGCCCCTAATAAAATGCCCACCCTGTACATCGGCGAAAGAAATGTGGAATAAACTAGAAAGTATTTTTGATAGAAAATCTGAGGTGAGTGCACACCTTTTAAATGAGCAGTTTTACAATGCTAAATTTCAAAATGACAACGTTAGTGGCTTTATTTCTAAGATCACTAACATACAGGCGAAACTAAAGCAATTGGGTGAGGATATTCCAGAGAAAATGATGATGTCAAAAATTATTATGTCCCTCCCCGAAAAGTTCCGCCATTTCAGATCTGCCTGGGAAAGTGTGAGCCCTAAAAATCAGACCCTAAATAATTTGACAGCTCGCCTTTTGATCGAAGAAGACAGATTAGTGAAACAAGAGGAAGAATCTGTCGCACTAATGTCTTGTCACCAGTCTGTTGTTGGACAAACGTCACAGTCTCGTCAAATGTCAAATATAAATAAAAACGGAAAATGTTTTTCTTGCGGAAAAGTGGGACATTTGAAGAACCAGTGCAGGAATCTCGAGTGTGGTTACTGCAAGAAGAAGGGTCACCTTATTAAGGACTGTTTTGCCAGAAAGAAGAAGGAGGTAAGAGATAAAAATGAGTTAATGAGTGCAAATGGGAATTTTGCGCTCATTTCCGCTTCCAGTTTAGCTAGGTCTCAAGTAGATGTTGAATGGTTTATGGACAGTGGAGCCTCGCAGCATATGTGTAGACATTTAGACTTATTTTGCAGTTATGAAAAAATGGAAGTGGCAAAGTATATCAAGATTGGTGATGGTACTAACTTACTAGCCGAAGGTCAAGGTAACATTTGTATGCAAGCATTTAATGGTAAAAATTTCCATTCTGCGATATGATGATGTTCTCTATGTTCCAAATCTTAAAATAAATTTGTTTTCTCAGGGTAAAGCCCTAGACAAAGGTTTATCTTTAATTTCAAATGCCGAAGAGGCAAAATTTGTGAATAAGGAGAACATCACAGTGGCAATAGCATTTCGATCAGATAAACTTTTTAAAATGATGTTCAAGTCACCTAGTTGTTTTGAACACACAGACCAATGTTCCAAGTTTGAAAATTCTGATAATGAAAATTGTTATTTTGGTAAAAATGAGAGGGATATTGAATGGTGGCATAAAGCATTAGGGCATCAAAACTTTCGGTACGTTAAAAATATTTTAAATCTCAATAAAGTTGAAGTGAAGTCCTCTAGTACATTTTGTAGTTATTGCGTTCAAGCTAAACACTGCAGGGAGCCTTTTAAGGTGAACAAAAATACGGCAACCGAACCAGGTGAGTTGATACATATAGATTTATGCGGCCCAATGGAAGAGCCTTCTTTAAACAATTCGCGTTATATGTTTCTATTGAAAGATGACTTTAGTAATTACAGGTTTGTTTATTTTCTGAAAAATAAATCTGATGTGTGTATGAAATCTTGAATGAATTTCTTGTATTTTTCGAAAATCAAACAAATAAAAGAGTTAAGATTATTAGAAGCGATAATGGTGGAGAATTTTGCAATTCTTCAGTGAATACTTTGTTAAAAAAGAAAGGCATAAAACATGAGCGTACCGTACCATACACTCCCCAGCAAAATAGTAGGGCAGAAAGGGAATTCAGGACTATAATAGAGTCTGTGAGACTTGAAAGTAAATTATCCAAAAATTTTTGGGCCGAAACTGCAAATACTGCAGTTTTCTTATTGAATAGAACTGGTATGAGCGCCATTGAAGGAAAAACACCTTATGAGTTATTATTTAAAAGATCTTTTGATTTAAATATAGTTAAAGGTTTTTTCGGTAACAAAGTATGGGCTTATATACCTCAGGCGAAAAGGTTAAAATTAGACACGAAGAGTAAATCTGGAATTT